CCCTGAAAATGGCGGTGGGGACTGAAGGGAGCCCCGAGCACCGATATACCCGCTAGAAGGACTAGACATAGATGAACCCTGAACCGATGGTGCATGAGTCAAACTCTGAGCTAGAAAGGCACTGAGAGATGAGTGACCCTGCTGAGAGCTGTGAGAACCATGACTAGATGATGCACCACGGTAAAGTGGACGAGCCGTCTGAGCATGTCTGAAGGGACGACCCCTGTCATGGTGGAACTGACCTCCAAAATGAAACACCACCAAAACTACCTGATCCACGAGGCCTCTTGGCCTCCCTCTCAGCCCGCTCCTGGCAGCGAACAGACTCTATCTCCCGAGCAATGTCAACAACCTCCTCAAAAGTAGCACCAAACACCCTCTCTCTAGTCATAAGATCCACATCTAATATGCGAGGCCATCAACAAACCTCCCGATACTCTCACTGACCGCGGGAACCAACCAAACAACATGACGGGCTAACTCAAAAAATCTCATCTCGTACCGCGTCATAGTCATATCATCCCGAAGCAGCTGCTCAAACTACCTGCGCAGCTCCTCTCTACGGGACTGCGGCACATACTTCTCCAGGAAGAGAACGGAGAACTGTTGCAATGTAAAGGGCGATGCACCAACGGGCCTACACCTCTCATAAGCCTCCCACCAAGTGAAGGCAGCTCCAGAGAACTGAAAGTTAGTGAACGAGACCCCACTAGTCTCCAGAATACCTGTTGTACGGAGAATCCCATGACACTTATCCAAGAACCCCTAGGCATCCTCGCCCTCTGCACCGCTGAAAGTCAGAGGCTGAAGTCTACCAAACCTCTCCAATCTATGCTGCTTATCATGACGCATGACAGGAACCACATAGTCCTGAGCAGCTGCAACCGGCTGGGCTGGTGGTGCCCCCGGTGTCTGAAGTCCCTGTACCACCTACTCTGGTGTGCGGGCGGCGGGAGTCTGAGCATCTCCCCCCGGCCTGAGAAGTAGCTGCTGCGGCCGGAATAGAGATCACCTGAGCAAGACTGGTGCACACGGTCAAAATTTGAGCTAGGGCCTCCTCAATGCCTGGGATAATAATAGGCACAGTTGGTGCCTGAGCTGGTCCCGCTGGTGCATCTGCAACCGAGACCTAATCCTGAACTGGGGCAACTTATAGATCTACATGTGCCGCCCTATCTGCTGTGCAGGCTGCACCTCTGCCCCTACCACGGCCTTTACCGCAACCTCGGCCTCTCGCGGCCCCAACTGGTGGTACTGGTGGCTGTCCGTCCTGTCCAGTAGCACGTGTCCTCACCATCTGTCAAAAAATAGAGTGACAGGAGTTAGTTACTAGAATCAACAGATTCGCACGACAAGAATTCAAGAATGTGAAGTTTTCCTAAAGGTTTTGCAGCCTCTCAAAATAAGTACAGACGTCTCCGTACCGATCCGTTAGACTCTACTAAACCCGCTCATGACTCGTCAGACCTATGTAACCTAGGCTCAGATACCATCTTGTCATGACCTAAATACCAACTATCATGATAGCTCCTATCATGGAACTAGGCCAGCCTCAAATCAATAACCCAACACAGCAATAATAAGTTTGAAAATATAACGGAAACATTAAATGTCTAAAGAAGACTATTTGAAAACATAAGAAATCCCAAATTACGATACAATTTTGTCCCAAAACTGGGGTGTCACTGAGTACATGAGCATCTAAATCAGAATACAGTCCACTATAGAGTCTAGAGAAATAAACTGAAATGCGACAAATGATAAAGGAGGAGAGTCAAGGCATGCGAATGTCGTGCAGCTACCTCAATAGTCTCCAAACTCTGAAAGAACTCAATCAGCATCCGTCACTGCGATCAGTATCTCCTGGATCTGCATACGAGGCGCAAGGGGTAACGTGAGTACACCAACTCAGTAAGTAACGAGTCCAAACTTTGGACTGAAAGGTACTGACGAACTCAACCGATACAGATAAGAACAGAAATAACTGTAGAGAAACGTAGGCATGCTTTCAATTTAATAAGCAGTTCAAAACAGTAAAGTCGAGCATATACGAACAGTGTAAAGAATATATATTTGCTACCTCTACATGCCAATGCACATGCTGAATGGAATGCACCATGCTATCAGCCTCATGTGCTCACTCTCTCAAATACTCAACCACTCAGTACTGTATATGGCTCATACGGCCCAGGAAAAATCTATCCCGGAATATATACACATCACTGACAATAGTGACTCAGTACCGAGGAAGGACAATCCAACCCTGTGGAGAACATCCATCTCCAGGTATCAAATGCTTCGGACAAGATCCATGTCCAGGGAAGATCCATCCCGAAAAATATCATCCGCGCTCACTGGGGGTGTGTTACAGATTCCGGAGGGGCGCCTATAGCGCAAGCGCTATTATGGCGTACGCAGAACTTTTTGTAAGCGGTGTCACTAGTAGACGTGAAAAAATAAATAAATAAATAAATATAATATAATATCATATTTTAAAAAATACCAATAAAAAAACACAACTAACGGAAGCAACAGTGTCCCTCCGATTTGAAAATTGTATTGTGCTGGTCACTTTAGTTATGACTTAGGATACTTTTTAGATGAGGAATAAAAGTATTGAAACATAAAATGGGCCTACGGAAGTTCGAACTCAAGCCCTCACATAGAATTCTTAAGCCTCTGACCGTTTAAGCTACAGAGCTCTTTGTGACAAGGGGTGTCACTTTATTTGCTTTTATCTGTTTCTTGGTTCTTCATTTGAATTACATACAAATAATTAGTAAAGATTTTCGATGAAGCGGTGTCACGTGACACCGCTTGGGCTAAGGTAAATCCGCCCCTGATCATCAATATAACCGATGCGGCGTGCAGCCCGATCCCATAACTGTCACTCATAATCAGGCCCTCGACCTCACTCAGTCATCAATCTCTCCAGTCTCACCCACGGGCTCACAATGTCATGAAAACAACCCGGAATAATGATATGATGAATCAATAAATAACTGAGACTGAGATATGATCTAAAATGCATGAACATGACTGAGTACGGAATATTAATGAAAATGTTGAGATGACAGCAAGAAACGACCACTGAGGGTCCCAATAATACCGGCATAAAGCCTCGACATTATATCTAGAATGATGTACAGTTCAATTACTTTTTCACATGATGGAAATATGGATATCAACATGATAGAGTCACTAAACGGTGCCATGGAATCACCCCGGTCATAATTCTCACAGAGCACGCTCGTACGCTCGTAACTTGGCATGTGCATCACCTCAATACTAATCACATGACACATAGTTTGGGGTTTCGAACCCTCATAACCAAGTTTGAAAGCGTTACTTACCTCAAACCAAGTAAAATCCTACTCCGCAATGCCTTTGCCTCTCAAATAGGCATCCAAACATCCGAATCTAGCCACAAGCAGTATAATACGATCAATATAGGCTAAATGAATCAATTCCACAAGAAAAATACCAAATTATAGCCAAAATCCGAAATCGGCTCAAATTCGGCCCCCGGGCCCACGTCTCGAAACCCGACAAAAATCACAAAACCCGAAGCTCATTCACTCACGAGTCTAACCATACTAAATTCATCAAAATTCGACATTATTTGCTCTTCCAAATTTCTAAAATTCACTCTCCAATTCTCAAGCCCTAATCTCCCAAATTTCACCTCTAACACCAAACAATCTAGGTGGGAAAAATAATGGGGAAACAAGTTTTATGATCAAACATGAGTACAAGATGCTTACCTCAGAAATCCTCACGAAAATCCTCTCCAAAATCGCCCAAGACCGAGTCCAAAATGGTGAAATAAGACTAAAATCGTGAACCCTTGTTTTTAAATATCCTGCCCAAGTTTTTCGCACTTGCGCTTCATTTACCGCATCTGCGGGACCGCTTCCGCGGACAAAGTTTCGCTTCTGCAGAAAATCATTAAAAACCCAGCCTCCGCTTCTACGATCATCGCAGGTGCGGAAGTCGATCGCATCCGCGGTCCAATCACGCACTTACGCCCCTTAATCCGCTTCTGCGACCTTCGCAGGTGCGGGAATTTCATCGCACTTGCGCCTTCTGCCCAGCCCCTCTAATAAGCGCAGCACTGGTTTATTATACTTAGGACCACTTAAATATTTCAAAAGGTTCAATCTTCTCAATACTATAATGAGACTGTCTCCACCACAGCATCAGTACCCTTTACTTTCTCTCAAATCGTATTTCTAAACAAATTAGGACCAAAGATAATTGGGATGCAAATCCATTCCCTCAATGTACTAGAATGCTCTAATTATTTTTATTATTTTGCCAATTATTCCTTCTTACCAAACTTTGATTTTACCAGCCCCCCCCCCCCCTCCCTCCAGCATCGGCGGAAGGGGTGTTAAAGACACCCCTTCACAAGAAAAATACATATGTATATATACTATGTATTGGCTCCCCTTAATTTTTTAGTATATTTACTTTTATATATTTTGACACCCCTTAATGAAATTTCTGGCTCCACCACTGTCCCAAGGTAACTTTAAGAGTTAAGAGTTAAGATAATAATAGTTGAAAAGCATGCGAAAATAGTGAGGGAAATGGCTTATATATATATGTGTGTGTGTGTATAAGCCATTTCCCTCACTATTTTCGTATGCTTTTCGACTATTATTTCTTTTGCACAAATAGCCGGTCGAATTCTTTATTTATTTTTTCTAGTCGGAATACATGTATGATACACATTTATACATATATTACATACATTCGCTGAATATTTTTAGTTTTAGCTGTATTTTGGTTAGTTTTTCAAGTTTCAACCATAAAATCATGGATCCACTGTATTGGGCTGGTCCCTCTCCCAAAGTTGCCCTGTGGAGAATGGACAAATAAAGGAAAAGGCCCATGATCGAAGAACTTACAAGCCCAAACCCAAGCCCGGTTGATTTCCCTTTTCCCTTTTTTCCAATTAATTGTTAGGCCTTCTAAATTATTCTGTTAAACCCTAGGGTTTAAGATGCTTTTGCTTGCTGAACAAAAGCCTCAAAATCCGAACATCACTCCTTGGATACGTTTATAAAGTCAGTATCTTTCCTATTACAGCAACCATGTCAAAGATTTTGAAAACCCAAATTTCGTTACTTGAACATGGTGGGTTTTGTGTACAATCCCACAAGTGAAGAGGTTGAAGAAGATAAAAAATTTCAACCCTTTACAGAGCTTAACAAACAAAACGACCCCTTTAGCCTATCCGTTCCTGATTTTGACGACTCTTTTTTGTCTTCTGCTGATTTTGATTCAATCAAAGATTTAATCTTGGATACCCCTATGGCTGAAGTTAAACAAGAACCAGCTGAGTTTGGTTCTGAACAAGTTGAGTTTAGCACTATGGATAAGGATAATGAATTGGGTACTTGTGAAATTTCTGATAATTATGAAGTTCAAAAGGAGGGTTGTGTAAAGTTGGATTCTTTGAGTTGTTTGAAGGTGGAAAAGAGTGAATGTGGAGAAGTGGGTAACTTGGGTTGTATAGTTGAGGAGGGTATTGGGAAAGTTAGTATAAGTGGGACAGAGGATGAAAGAGTTGTTGACCAAGATGGCAATAGGGCGAATATTGCTGAAGCTGATATTGGCAGTTGTAGCATTGTCAGTGATAGTGCGGCGGCTGTCGCTAGCAAGAGTGTGGAGAGCGATCAAGTTTCCATCATCAGTAGTAGGGCTGAGGAAAGAAGTGTTGATGGAAGTACAGTGAATGGTGATAAGTTAAAAGGGGGTGAAGATGGGAGTACTAGTGATACCGAGTCTGAAAGCGAGAGCTCAGCCTCTTCTTCAGCCTCTAGTAGTGATGACAAGAGTAGCTCGAGCGAGGAAGAAGGAGGGGAGGTGGATATGGAAGAAGGTGAAATTGAAGCATCTGATCCCGATGAGATGGTTGCTTGGAATGAAGATGATGAGGACACTGGTGTTAAGGGACCTATCAGGTCTAAGAATGAGGTTCAGGTAATAATTATCATTTCATATGTAATTGCTAATGCATCTGATTTACTATTGAAGCTATACTTCTAAGTGCTTGATGCTTCTGTGCCTTATGGAATGTAATAGAAAAATGTCTAAATTTCTGCTAAATGGTAAAGAAAAGACACTTTGAATTTGAACTTCTACAAGAGATGATGCTCAAATAGACGCCTGTAAAGCATGGTATTAAAAGAGCAATCATGTCAATGAAAGATGAACAGGCTTTTTCGAGTAAAAGATGACTGCCCTAGTATAGCCAACTCTGGAACACACATCTTTGATCATTGTTGTTGACTTGAAGCCGGAATCGCTGACTTATGTATATATCTAAAATTGCAAATCTGATAGCATCTGATTGATAACTTGACATTCTTTTTGGATTAGCGTATGTGTAGTCTAAATATGTAACACAGATACTTGGTGGTAAACGGAGTTCATCTATCTCCCTGATTATGCATCCAAAGTCCTAGTTATTGGCCATGCCCATAGATAAGTGGCACACACTTGAAAGTAAATTTTGGCTGACGCAAAGCTAACACCACTACTAACCTGATTGTCCTTCCAAAAAATTCAGATCAATCTTCTTTGTTTTCCTCTGTAATGACGTCTCTAACTTTTTTTTTTAAAAAATGTTGGAATTCAAATTCGGGCTTTGGTTTGCTAAATAGGGGAGAGCTTTAGAAGAACTGAAATACCTACAGGTTTTCTATGGGGTGCCCTACCAATCTAAAGCCTTAAACAGCAAATGAATAATGGTATCATAGTACGGATTTGATGCAGTTCTAAGTGGGTATTTTTGCTTCTGAAAGTAATCTTTGTTCCTCTTTTTGAGCCAATTTTTGCTTTCTAGGAGCTACCCACTTTGACTATTTCATTCACAAATTCGCCTCCAAACACCATTACATTTTTTTTTATCATTTTCGTTTTCCCTATCAAAAAAAGTACAACTGACCTCCGGGGGTTATGATCAAAATAAGTCTTCCTTTAGCATGATCCATGGTTTGATATAGTTGATGTGAACACTGAACATGACTACACGAGCATGTTTCTGTATTTGCAAGGAACTTAGGATAATAGAAGAGCTAATCAGGTAGTAATTATTATGTAACAAGAAAAGTGCTTACAGCATAAAATATCTTTAGTAGACCTGGGTTGGGAAACAGTAAGCAATGGCTCAAACTTCTTGTGAAAGCCTTATACTACAGGAAAAACAATGTCTATAGGGAAGTGGCAATATTCATTATGGATTAGGTGTAAAAAAGGTATCCAGCTTAAGCTCAAAAATAAATTGTTGTTGTGTAGTTATCTATATAGAATGTTGTCAAGTACTTCAACTTGTTCAGCATTTTAGATTTTTCTGCTTTAAATTCCACCTCCAATTTTCATGAGAGTCTGGTTTGATGTTTGGAAGACTGGGAAAATGCATACAAATTTAGAGAATGGAAGAACTTAGTTTTTAAGAAGAAAAAAGACGGTCTTGTTTCTGCTTTATGCCTGTCAACTTATCCTTTGAAGGACATCTTGATCAATCCCAGTTTGAGATTAATCGACATTTCGGAAAATGTAAAAACAAATCAAGTTTCTTCTCTTCATGGAACTCTGACTTGCATCCAAGCCAACATCATTCTAATGATCTGGTTGCTTAGGTAATATTTTATGCTGTTACTTGAACTCTATGGTATTACTCTATGGTGAGAAATGACGCTGCGGATTTGCTTTTCATGTTTTTTTCAACATGCACAATATTCAGTCTTCTTGCTATTGCAGGCTCTTCCCCCAGTTCCTGCAGTGACTGTAACCTTACAACCACATCACCAAATGCTGCCTGTGGGAGTTGTATCATCGGTAAGACTAAAAAGCTAAAAAGGAAACAACGTAATCTGATCTTTTGTCTTTTGCTTATGCTTATGCTTAATTCAACTTTGTTATCTACATATGGTTTGACAGATCGTTGGAGCCCAAGTTGTAGTAGAAGGGGTGGAAAAGCATACTCCTCTTTACGACGGTTCTATTCTCTGGATTACAGAAAGCAGATCCCCACTAGGTATAGTGGATGAGATTTTTGGGCCTGTCAAGAACCCTTACTACATTGTAAGATACAATTCTGATAACGAAGTCCCAACTGGAATCAACCCAGGCACCTTGATCTCTTTTGTCCCTGAATTTTCCGAACATGTCTTAAATGACAACAGTCTTTACAAGAAAGGGTATGATGCATCTGGTGAAAATGATGAAGAGGTGTCCGAGGCGGAAGAATTTTCAGATGATGAGAAGGAGGCTGAGTACAAGAGAATGCTGAAAATGAAAAAGAGGGGTGCCACAAATGACCAGAAACTAGGAAACAACAAGGACAAAAGGAAACTGAAAAATAAATCTCAGAACTGGAAACACAATGAATCTGCGGCTGCAGATGCGCAACGTGAAAATGCTAAGCCACCAGTCGACCAAAGTCAACGTTTTATCTCAGCTGCTGCTGGTTCACTGGATCAAGGTGTTCATCCAAACTCCTCGTTTCAAGGACATGTACAGAGTAGTAGGCCTCCATCAGTCCCTCCATTCCCTTATATGGAAAAAGGCCCTGGTCAAGCTGCACCGTCAACTGGAGTTTGGACGAATGGAATCCCATATCAGCAGCCCCAGAATATGGGCTTTCCTAATGCACTGTCGAGTATTGGCATGCCATGGCCACAACAGATTCATCAACAGCAAATGTTCTCAATGCCTTCGCCAAATGCAGTACCTTTTGAGCAGCAAATGAATCCATCTACTTTTATCTTCCCAGGTGGCCAACCAAATTTTGGTGCCGGGCCATCTTTTCTACCTTGGCCTGCATTAGGACAAAATGTTTATAATCAACCACAACTGTCAATGGGTCAAATGGCTCCTTCGCCCTTGATTTTGGGAGGTCAGGTACCGGTGAATGGACCACAAATGGTACAGAACAACAATTCACAACCAAATGCTGCAGGTCCAGGCTATATAAATGGCTCTCCAAACTTCAATCAAGGCCATCATTCAGGTGGTGGTCGGAGAGGGAATCACAGGGGTGGTGGCCGTTTTGGTGGTAGGAGAGGCAGGACAACTGAAAGGTGAAAAAATGTACCATTGATACCATGCACGGAGAAAATTAGTTGTAATTTCTATTAAAAATACAGTAGTAGCAGTAGTAGTAGTAGTAGTATAAGATTTCCGAGTTTACTTCCCCTTTTCCTTCAGGGATCAAATGTGTACAGGGATATTCACATTTTTATGGTTTCATCAAATGTAATGCATTTTTTCCCAAATTCTAACTGTTTGCTTTCCAGCAGTGCTCTCCTAGAAAATACATACAATGCAGAAAGCACTGGCTACGTAGTTCCATCTGGCTCGTTAACTCTCTTTATATGACTTAAAAACGATAATCTTTTTATTTTTATACTATATTAGAGTGGAAGTACTAAAGTGCTATACTGTGGATTTCTTAAGAGAGACGTGTAAAGTTTGATAATCATTCTTTGATAGTAGTATATATATTATTACTAGTTTGATAAATTTATGAGCTGAGAAGTTTCTCATGAAATAAAAACAAGCTAGACAAATACTGGTTAAGATTCTTCAACTTTATTGGTAGGACATGCCCCCTCCTCCCCCACAAAGAAAAGGAAGAAAGCGCTCAAAAATGCCATCTCAACAGGAGCTAATAGGCTTACCTCTATTACCAAATATATTTATTCGCACCTCGTGCTTACACCAAAAAACTACTTAAAAACTTTTTAAGCTTGTGCTTAGAGCTTTTGGTTTTTCAGTCAGTGACGACGTTGAGACTTTGTGCTTTCATGTAGTAAAAAGTTTGAGACTTTGCAATAAAGAACGTACATTGGATGTTACCTCGACACATAAATTCTACTTCTACGTACAGGACATAATTAAATTAATTGGGGGCTCTTTGTAACGCATTAACAGAAAAAGGAAATTTGGGTGGTGGGAGGCATCTTTTTGGAAATACTTTTATGACTTTTAGCAAAGATAAGATGTTTATTTTTTGTTTAATCACCAGACACAATATACTATTATTCTATTAGTCTAATGCACTATGCTATAACTAGTTCTGGAGTTGTCAAAATAAAATAAGCAGAAAGAACCACTTTGTTGATTTGCCTTGTCCCATTTGCCACGAAGAATCCATTAACGAACCTCGCATATGTAACACCAGCTTCAGTAAGGTGATATTCTGGAATTTTTTTTATTTTATAAATGACTTCTTAAAAATAAGTTCCTAAGAATTGTTTTGGAAAAATGAGCTACTCACAAAATACAACCGAAAAAAATAAATATACACACACACACACTCTCTTTTTGTGTTATATATAAAAATTATACAAATTTTATACACTTTTTCGACTACCGTAAATAATTTCTTGCACGAGCTAAAAGCAATAACACCCCTTGTTTTCCGGTATTTAGCTAGATTGTAAAAAATATTCATTAATGTCCGATGATAACCAAATCGACTAGTGTTTTTATGAAAATTTGGATATAAAGATTGATAGTTAATGTCCAAAGTGAGGTCATTAGAAAATATTTTCTAGCAATCAAACACAAAAAAATAACTTATTTTTAGAGCAAGTAACTTTTGTATCTTACCAAAACTTTCTTAACTCTCTAGAATAGCATGAAATACAGCTGCTTTTTAAATCATATCATACTCCTATTAATGCCCGAGAATCCCCAAAATTAATTGATACTCCATCTACTGAGCAGAGTAATACTATCTGGCACCAACCAATATATAAAGAGAAAGCCTTTGATTGTAAATGGAGCAGGGAAAATTTGGGATTTTAATGTGTCAATAGATATGTCAGCAAAAACATGCTGTGAACATTTGCAGGGGTTCGAATAATGGGGAAAACATAGCCAGGAGAGAAGAGAAGATATAGAATAGTCAGGCTTTTGCATTACTTGTGAAATCACTGCAAGTCTGGCAACTGCAGTCCGAAAAACGGCATACTTGGCACCCAAAACAAACACAGGAGGTGCAACCTTTACATGACGGAGAACGAGAACATCCTCTGTACACCCTTCGACTCGCTCGTTCTTCTTCATCATCACATGAAACTCTGTAACATAGAAGAAGCCAGCAATCAAATAAGTCCAAAAATTAAAAACAATGAACAATAAGACATTTTGATATTTTGGAAGGTCAGCTGTAGACAATATATTACCACTTCCCACTGGACAGGCTCCAAGAGAAAGAAAATGAAATGCACAAACAAAATACTTAGCACATATTGGTAACACAAAAATTGAATGCTTTTGGCAGTTCAACAACTGCAAAAGTAAAGATCATAAAAGCTTCCTACCACCTAATAATATATGCATCAGCAAACTCTTCTACATCACTTGGCATTCAACCAACTAATAAGATGAGGCATGCATCAAATACACTGTTTTATATTCACTTGGAACCATAATATTTCAGATCCAACAGAGTGGAAGGGGGCTCATCGATGCAAACCTTACAATGACATCAAGAACACATTCATTAATGCCTAATATTCGGACTCAATTCTTGGATGGCATTATAAAATTCCAATTCCCAAACTAGAATCAGTTATTTCTCTCAAGAATAAGCCGGTTGACTTCCACAATCTAACAAAACAATGAGCCATCTCAACTAGCCAAGCAGGTTCTGCCCATAAGCAGAGATCCCATAGGCGTATGATCAGAAAAAATAATGGAAATCTTCGAGAAATGATACTTCTGGGAAAGAAATTGATACCTACTTTAAAGCAGTAATATCTGTGATTCAAATTGGAAAGAAATTGGAATAGGAAAGACATTTTGATGGTTGTATGCTATCATACACCTAAAGGTCTTCACTTCAAATATATTTTTATTATGCAAATACAAAATGCTATATTGGACTGAGTAATCTCAAAGTTCCATTCCAAAACAAAATTAGAAGAGCTGCACTCCAATTATTTTTGCTTGAAATAAAATGAGCTTTCTTGCCAATTTTGGACTAAGAAAACACTGCTGGAGGCACCCAATTACAACAATAAAACTTAGAGCCAGCTACTTTGTTTTACACCTAATTAAAAGGGATGAACGCATTAACAGAAGAATGAAGTTAATTCTCTTAATCTTCCTCATGTCATACTAGAGACAGTCAGATCGCTAAAGTACTGTGCTAATGATAAAAACATTTCTTTAAATTGTTCTCAACATGCAAAAAGCCAATGTCTTAGGTGCAATACTACGAGATGGTTGCTTAAAAATAAGACTTCCGGTAAGTGTGCCTGCCCTTCGCTTCTGTTTGACATAAAAGTTAATCAAGTGCACATGTGACCTTCGATCTTTCATGACTCTCCTCCATTTGCTAACATTCTTTTCTTTTTCTTTACATTTTTGGAGGGGGAAGGGGGTAGAACTAGAGTGGACATGATACAGTAGTAAAGGCATACTGCCTGGTATTTCATGAAGCTGGACAAAAAGGAATCATCAAGTAATTGAAATAGGAATGAAAATCATATACAGATCTCAAAAAAGAAAAGGTAAGAACCCGCATGGATTAGTTAAAGACTTCAAGACAATCTAACAAGCTGCAATTATTTTCCCATTCCATGCCTTCTGCAACCGTTCATAGTGTCCCACGCTGGACGAGATAAAATTAGTAACTTTGAGCTAAAGATTTTTTCTTCTAAGGAGAAATCAACTCGCAGCATGAATGTATAAGAGGGTGGTGAGTCTAGAAAAGGAGGAATAAAAGAATCCAGTGAACTATTAAATAAACAAACTTGAATTAGATGAACATACTTGTCATAAGGAATATCAGAGCACTTCCAATGCACATTCGCCAAAGCATCATGGTAAATTCGGCATTCTTCCTTTGAACGGAGACGGAACCTACGCTCTTTCTTACACTCAGTGCATCTTAAAAACTCATCGCGATGTGCTTTTCCATTTTGAGATCGATGTGACCCGTTAGCATGCTTTGAAGACTTGTTATAATATTTGAGCAGTGGAGTCTTCACAACAGGAACTTTCTCACCATTGAGAATGATCCATATATTATTTTTCCATTTCCTTGCAGTTTCTCTTCCAGAATGCTTCTCAAATGCAGCTGGAGTCAGCTTGTCTGATCACAAAACATCAATTCTTAATAGAAGCACAGTACACAACAAGACTATCAAATAGTGCAGAAGAACAGAATAAATAGAGAGTTTTCTTTTTCATCAATAAGAAAGAGAGGACATATTAATACAACTCTGCATAAGAAACATAACACATTCAGTTCTCCATTCATAGATGGACCAGGAAAATCAGAAAACAAAACTAGCAATTGGAGATGAGGGAGCAAATGATGTAGGAGGCAAACTCAAAGTTTATGCATACATGAAAAACAAATTAGTATCTGGGTAAAGAAAATGAACGTGTTATAGAATGCGCTTTTCTGTCTAGCACTAGCAATACAAGAAGTATAACAACAGCTAAGAAGCTGATTATCTAGATTCCAGATAGAGAAAGAGCCTCTTGTTAAGTACTACAAGTACCAGTGTGGGACTTAAAATGTACTTTATCAGATCATTCTTGTATTGTGGAATTTTATTTATCAAGTACATAATTGATTCTTTGTGTCTTATGATTGTATTGTACTAAAGAAAAGAGGAAACCAAGAAGATACATAGTGAATGATAAAAAGGAGAGATATATCCTCTGACAACTAATGCTGTCGAGAATCTGCTGAGTGATACAAGATTTCTTTATAGTATAAGATAGTGTACGAAAACCATCACGCTATACACATAAACATTGCACTAGTCCCTGCACAAGCTCCCTTGAACATAAATTATGCTTAAGATTTGATTGATATAGAAGTTGCCATGGCCACTAGGACAAAGTTTTTGAAATGGTGGAACCAATGAGTTGTTCAACCAGAAAGAACACGGTTTGAAGAGTTGGTTTAGCAAAACTTGGCTTCTCCAGATATACAACTCTGCATCAAAGGTCAGACCTTTAGCAACTAAACAATGTAAAGAACATTATCACATAGTATGAAACAGGCAATGTAGGCCACTATCTCTAGCTTTATTTAATATGCTTATCAGCCATATATACCTTAGTACTATATCATAAAGAAGTTGTCCTCTCTGAGGCAAATTAACATACAGATAAACTCTTATATAGAAAACACAATGGCTCAAAACCTTAAACGCATAAACAACATCTTATAGTAAAGCGACACACAGAGTCCACGCGCGCACACACACACGCTCACAGAGAGAGGCGCATAACATGCAATTAACGCAAA